TTTGCCTTGTTTCTATCCTAGGGGAAAAGTGTCCAGTTTCTCACCATAAAGTATGATGTTAACTGTAACTTTTTGTAGATATTCTTTATCAAGTTTAGAAAATATCCCCTTCCTATTTTGCTAATATTTCTTTCATGAATAATTACTAGACTTTTTCAAATGTTTTTTTCTATTTCAAATGATACAATTGTATGATTTTTTCTTAATCTGTTAATATGATAGATTACTTTACTTTTGAATGTTGGACCAGCCTTTCATATTTGGAGTAAATCCCATTTTGTTATGGTTCATAATTCTTATACATTGTTGAATTCAATTCATTAATATTTTGTTGAGGACATTTTGTTGAAATGTTGTTGCATCTCTGTTCATGAGAATTATTGGTCCCTAATTTTCCTTTCTGGTAAAGTTTTTCCTTTCTGGTAACATTTTACCAATGTTTTCTTTGGTTTTAGCGTTAGAGCAATGATGCCTTTAATGAGTGAGTTAAGAAGTGTTCCCTGTTCTTTTATTTTCTGGAAGAGATTCTAGAGGATTCTTACAGAGTAGTAGTAGTAGGATTCATGAGTGAAATCCTCTAGGTCCATGCTTTCTCTTTTGGAAGATTATTAACTATCAATGCAATTTATTTAATAGATATATGCCTATTCAGATGACCTATTTCTCCTTGTATGAATTTTGGTAGTTTATGTCTTTCATAGAATTGATCCATTTCACCTAAATAATCAAATTTGTGGATATAGAGTTTTATGCAGTATTCTTTTTTATCCTTTTAATGTTTATGTGATCAGTAAGGATGACCCCTCTTTCATTTTTTATATTGGTAACTTGTGACTTTATCTTTCTTCAAGATTAGTCTGGCTATATGTTTATCAACTTTATTGATCTTTTTAAAAAATCAACATTTGATATTGTTGATTTTTTGTGTTGAATTCTTATTTTTGATTTCATTGATTTCTGTTCTATTTTTATGTTTTTCTTCTGTTTATTTAAGGCTTAAATTGTTCTTCTTTCTCTCATGTCCTAAGGTGGAAACTTAGGATATTTAAAAATATTTCTTACTTTTAATGCATTCATTTAATATTATATATATCCTTTGAAGCACTATTTTAATTGCAGCCCACAGATTTTAAGAAGTATTTTCATTTAGTTCAAAAATTTTTTCCAATTAATCTTGAGACTGTCTCTTTGACCATGTGTTATTTTGTAGTATATTTTTCATCTCCAAATGTTTGGGATTTTTCAGTCATCTTCTGTTATTGACATCTGGTTTAATTCCTTTGTGGTCTGAGAACATACTTTGCATCATTTCTATTCTTTTAAATTTGATACCTTTTTTTCATGGCTCGTGATATCTTCTGTCCTTGTGATTGTACCATGTGAACTTGGATAAAAACGCATTTTGTCATTGTTGAATGGAGTATTGTATAAGTGCCAGTTTGACTTTATAGGTTTATAGTAATCCATTGCCATAGTCCAAGATCCATCACTTTTCTGCACAGTTGAAATCGGAGAATTGAATGGTGACGTGATAGGAGACTTCGTACCTTCATCTCTTAAATCTTTGATGTGGCTTTAGTCTTGTCTGTTCCTCAAGTTCTGTGGTATTATTCTTTATTGACTATTTAACAGGGAGAAGTCCTGAAGGACCAAAGTGGAATTTGGTCCTCAGAGATTAAGTCATTCTGAGCCAGCATCCTGTAATGCCCTACGTTCCTTCCTCCAATGTACAATCCTTTCTGGTAAGTGGCTTCAGGTTCCTTTGAAGAAAACTAGGACAAAGTTTTACAGTATATAATTTTCTCGAGGAGATCCTACCTTCTTCTCACTGAACAGACTGAGTTTCTAAACTGGAGCAGCTCTTGGAAGTGAGTGAGAGGTCATGACTCTCTTTAGTGATGACATACTGGGTCACTATTCTGAATGAAATCAATATAAGACAAAAAAAATCATGAAGTGTAGACAGGACTGCATCTTGTACCATCCTTTAAGTCCCCAGATCCAAAATTATCCTTATAATTTTTGGTCATATGAGCCAGTAAGTTACCTTTTACTTTGTAGGTCATTTTAATTTAAGTTGCTATCTATTGCATCTGAAAAGATCATTTTTCTTGCCTCAAACTGAAATTCAAATATACGTGCAGATATTTCAAATCATATGTGTTAATTTACACTTGAGAGTCTTCCCACGTGGACAACTAAGTGACTTCTTCCTCCAGATGTATAGCAGCTGGGATTTATATACTCAATAATGATTCTTCCAAACAGGGCTGGAAAGATTGTTTGTATGTTGAAAAAATGGTAGGGCAGAGTTTCTGACTGTTTTCCCCTCAAATTTCTGTCTCTCCTCACCCCTTTATACTTAATAAAGCTCAGTTTACAGATACTGCCAAAATCTTTGTTGACTATTTCACTGAAAATACCTTAGTGGTGGAAATTTCAGGTGGAGAGGAATAGCTAGAATGGGCTTGGGGGTGGGGAGGAGGAAGTGTTTCATCAGTTAGGTTCTCAGGAAGGCAGAAATCACACTGTTTTGACCAATTTGCTTTGTCTACAGAAAGAGTAAACTTGCTAAGAAGCATCTGTGAAGACAATGAAAGTAAATCATCTCCTTCCTTGTAACTTCCATGCTATCTGGGGAATCTTTTGAAGATGGCTCCACCAAAAGCCCTTCCTTGTACAACTATAATAGGAGAGAATTGAGAGAATCTGATCATTTCCCTTTGTCGTAACTCCTCACGTGACCTGCAAAGGAGTAAATATTTTGGAATAACAAACTTTGGTATAAGATTTTGTCTGAGAAATGTCTTTACATAGTTGAAATACAATTTTGTGGAATCTTTTCTGAGATCAAATTCTTTTATGAATGGCAATTCTGCTCAAATGTGTTACTGATAAGAGCCTGAGTCGTTAAAATTCATGCCACTTCAGTCTGGATGCACAGACAAAATTCATAAATTGCATTTATTTTCCTTATTAGAAATTTTACCGTGTATTTTCATGATATGGGATAAAAATGTGTTATTTTAATTTATTTTCTAAACTACAAAATGAAATGACTACATCATTCACTGTTTAAAGATATGGTTTCACATTTGTATTTAAGATAACCTTTAAGGAAACCTTCCTATATTTCTCTGTCACTTACTTTTAAAAAAAAATTTAGGATTCATGATTTAACTTTTTCACCTTAAAACAAAAGTCTTGTTCCTTGTTCAAAAGCCTTTCTTCCTTGATAGAAATGTAATTTTAGTTTATCTACATTGACATTTGAATTTGTATGCATTCATTAAACATTCAGATTGTATAAATAATGCGATCCGTATTTTAACAAAGGAAGCTTTCATGGCTGAATAATTTCTTCACTTTGCATTATGACAGCTATTGAGAAATGGAAATTTCTATATTAAAAAAAATACAGTCTGAAAATATCTTTACCAAAAGAAAGAACCAAATAGAATAACTTTTTTGAGTTATTTTTCAATGTTTTTGACAATTCAACGTTTCAAGTATATAAAATATATATCATATTTTATAACTTCTCTGGGAGAGTAGGTTCATTAAAAAGATGTATCCTTGACCAAAACATTCTGTTTTCTACAAATTTATAATGTCTGTACTCCCCTGTACTCCTAGACCAACTTCCTTTATGCTCTTAAAAGACCCCTATCCTTCTATCTTCTTAGTGGCAGAGCCCTGAGCTTCTGTTTGTACAATAATTCATGTACAGTCCTCTTGACCTTTCCTTCTGCAGTGTGTTGTTCAGCATGCTTAATCTAATTGTTTTCTTGACCACTGACCATCACACACATTTCACCCTGGACCTAGGCATGTTCTGCCAAAACCTTTATTCATTTGTCACATAAGAACACAAAGCCACTATTTTAACCACATCAGCATGTAAGAGAGTACATTCCAGAGTACCCGTTAGCTTAGATTCTGTGTAATTGTTCTTTGAAAATCTAAAACCTAGCACAAGACCTGACATGCAGTAGGCACACAGTAAATATCTGCTGAGTGAATAAGAATAATGCTCTTTGTGTATGCAAAGAGAAAAATCAGGAGAAGCAACCATAAGAAGTGCAGCAGTACTGTGTATAGAAAAGAACACAAGGGAAAAGAGAAGCTAAAGGGAGCAAGAAGAGTACAGCCATAGAAAACAGAGAGGTAGAACCCACTACGTGCTTTGACCACAAGGAAGGCAAGGACAAGCAAGTACATACACAGTGATTAAGGGAAAAGTTATTGAATAGCTAGGCTGGGCGGGGCATTTTAAAAATATTCATGTATTCATTGTTAGTTTAACATATATTTATTAGGCACCTACAATATGCCAAGCACTACTACTTCAAGTCCTTGAGATACATCACTAAACAAAAGAGATAAAGACTCCTGCCCACTTGTAGCTCCCTTTTAGCATATATTTAGATAGTATATAATTAATCATAAAAAATAAATGAATTATACACTACAAGAAAGGTGAAAAGTGCTATGAGGAAAAATAAAATTATAGAACAGGATAAAGGGGATCGAGTATATTGACAGGATGACTAGGAAGGCATCACTGAGAAGGTGAGGTCTGAGTACAGACGGATGGATGGGAATCAGACAAGCATATGTCTGGAGGAAGATCTGTCTATGCAGAGGGAATGGTTAGAGCAAAGATCCTTAGGAAGGAGCTTTCCTGGGGTGTAGGAGGCATGGCAAGGAAGCCAGAAGGGCTGGAGAGAGGGAGCAAGGAGACAGGTAGCAAGAGATGAGGCCACATTTAATGGTGCGATATGGGGAGTGAGGAAGATATCGTGAGTGTTGCAAGGTATTTGGCCTTCACTCTGAGTGAAATGGAAAGCCATAGGGAGGGGTTAGAATAGAGTAGCTTGTCTTTTATTTAAAAAGGATTATCTTATTTAGTCATGACGAAAACGCTATGAAACAATGTTTCAGTAAGAATTATTTTAGATGCAAGTAAACCAATTGAAATTCAATTTCATATTAGGAGTTTATTTTTCTCCTACAACAGTGAGTCCAGAGGGAGTTGGTTCTGAACATGGTTTAGTGAGTTAACGATGTCAGTGCTGTGGGCTTGTCATTCTCTTGGTCTTCCAGTTACACAGGGTGATAAGGTGGTTGCTGTAACTCCAAAAATCATATTCTCACGCAGCTGTCCTCAAAGGCAGGAAGAAAGGAAGCTTCTCCCTCTTGGTACTGCTTTCACTCTCCTTCTCTCACTCTCTTTTTCAGAGAGTGAAATCTGTCCTATGAGGTTCCTTTGAACAAAACCAGGTCACATATCAAATAAACCAATTACTAACAGGCAAGTGGGCACAGGATTATCATCAATCAAGAGCTGTCACCTGAGGCAGGACACCGCGGTGCCTGGCGTATAATAGGTGCTTAATAAATATGTGCTAATGATGAATACACCAATGTTTTCAATATGTAAATTTTGCTAAAAACTTCCCTCTGCACTGCTTTCATTACATCCCACAAATTTTGATTTTGTTTCATTTTCATTTAGTTTAAATTATTTTTGTTTTCCCTGAGACTTCTTTTTTGACCATGTGTTATTTAATTTCCAAATAATTGGGGATTTTTCAACTATCTTTCCATTACTGGTTTTTAGTTTAAGTAATTTCTAATTTAAGTAATTAAATGCATTTTGCGTGCTTTCTATGCTTTTAAAGTTGTTGAAGTGTGCTTTATGTTCTAGAATGTGGAGACTGTCCTGGAGAAGCTTCCCTGACAACTTGAGAACAGTGTGTGCTTTGTTACTGTTGGATAGAGTTTGCTACAAATGTCAATTAGATAAATTTGATTAATGGTGCTGTTCAGGTCAACTATATCCTTAGTGATTTTTAGGCTGATTCGTATATCAAATACTGAAAGAGGGGTTTTGAAGTTTTCTAATATACTGGTGGATTTGTCTATTTCTTCTTTCAGTTTTATCAGATTTGCCTCACATATTTAACACTTTGTTAGGTGCATACATGATAGTCATTTTGTAACCCCCCACTTTATCCCTGGTAACTTTCCTTGTTCTGAAATGTGCTTTTCTGAAATTAATATAGTTATTCCAGCTTTCTTTTGTCAATATTAGCATGGTACATCTTTCTCTATCCTTTAATTAGCATATGCAGACCATTCATATTTAAAATGATTATTGACATAGTTGGATTAATATCTACATTTTTGAAACTTTTGTATTCATCACATTTATTACTTTTTTCTTTCCTCTTCTACAGCTTTTTCTGATTTTAATTGAATACTTTGTATATTTCCATTTCCTCTTCTTTCTTAACATATTAATTTTACTCCATTAGCAATTTTTTTAGTGGTTGCCTTAGAGTGTGTAAACTTTCGCAGCTAATCTAAGTATACCTTCAAATAAGACTATATGTTCCAGAATGTGGAGACTGTCCTGGAGAAGCTTCCCTGATAGCTTGAGAACAATGTGTACTTTGTTACTGTTGGGTAGAGTTTTCTATAAATGTCAATTAGATAAATTTGATTAATGGTGCTGTTCAGGTCAACTGTATAGCTTACATTGCAGGTTCCATGTGCCAGAGTAGCTCAATTTATTGCTGTCATTCACTTTAGTTATCCATATGCTATAACCACCCAAGACTTTGTTACTATTATCACTGTAAACAAACTGTTATCTTTTAGATTAATTAAGAATGAGAAAACTATATATAGTTTATATAGTTATATATAAAACCAGTTGTTATACCAGAGCTCTCTTTATGTGGTGGTTAGATATAGAGGAGGAGAAGCATTCTCTAATTTTGTAACTTAATCTCAGTCCTGTGTCCCTGGACTGTGATTTTCACAAATGTTTTTAAAATGTTTTTCCCCATAAAGTATGTGTGGCTGGAGTGGGAGAAATGCCCTTCTCCCAGCTGTGAAGAGTCTGGTAATGTCTTTTCCCTGGTTAGTAGGCCTTTGTTCTAGAGAGAATTCTGGAAAAATTTCACAGCATCAGAACTAGAATGGAATCTTCACATTGAGAAGTGGACTTTCTGGAGGTAAATGCTATGAATTTGAGACCTTCCTTAAGACTGGTGCCCAGGAGATTTTTATTCTCCCTCTAGTCTATGTTTGGTTTCTGGCAATTCATTGAAATTACCTTTAGGTTTTCCTACTGGTTTATGGCTCCAGTGGCTTCTGTTCCAGCTTAACTGGTCTTGGCTGTATCTCACTGAGTTTGCCTGTATCTCCATATGTTGGGTAATAGTTTACCCTGCAATACATATTCGCTGATAGTCTTAGAAGAGTCATTGACTTTTAGTTTGTTCAGCTTTGTTTTATTGTAACGAATGGAGTGATGATTTCTGAGCTCTTTACAAATCAGAGTTGAAACCAGAAGTCTGGGAATCTGAATTTTGACTTTTACCTTAGAGAGTCATGACTCATAATGTTGGAAATTCTAAGATAGGAATAGAAAAATGTAGGAAATTATAGGAATGAACAAATATAAGAATGGTATTCAAAACATGTAGGGCTACCACAAATAGCACAAATGTTTACTAAACCACACAATCAGCAAAAAAGGCAGACAGAAATTATGTATATACTTAATAACATTCAGTTTGGCTAGTTCCACAGAAGTTTTGGCTAGCTACTGGGATCAGAGTATTTAAAGTCCGCTGTCTAATGTTCTCTAGATGATGTTTAAAAGGGCAAAGAGTATTTTCACAGTGACTTCTTTTTCTAAACTTCCCCTGCTGACTAGATGCCTACAACACTATTCCTTTGATTGACATATTCCTTAGTTAAATTTAGATAGTCAGTTTGGTGACAGACAAATCCTGGGAGCTGTTTTTATAAGGAGAACATTTCCTTATCTCTGATCTGCTTTATTACTTGAGATATTATATTTTAACGGTAAGTACATAATCTTATTACTTTTTTTGCCTTTGTTTAATGCATATCTTACCATATTCTAAATACTGAAAATAGACTAATTTTCTACATGATAATATATTTTTACCTTACCCTACATGCCGTTTTTCGTATTGGGCCTCCTATCTATAGAAACTTCTGGGAGAGTAGAGAAACTCAAAGAGTCAAACCTGTCCAGTACGTGATTAGGAAAGTATTCTGAAGCACTTGATTTAATGAAGTTTGAAGGTTGTCTTAAATTCTCTTTATTCATGCTCTGTTTGCTGCCCCACTACATGGCTGAATGTGACCTGAGGGTGGACAGTAAATACTTGTTGACTGACGAAGCACAAACGTGCGTTGCCACAAAATAAAGTTGCCCAGTCAGAGGCAACAGGGTCAAAGCTTTTTACCCTAAATGAAAATTTTTTTGACAGTTCTGCTTATAAAGGAAGTTAATAATTTTAACAGGAGCTACAGGAATATTGTTGGCTTTTTCACAGTATGTACAGTATTACTGAAATATGTAAATGTAAGAAGTCTATTTTAATAAGCTCTTTTTAAAGGTATGAATGTGCCCTTTTGATGAGCAGAATAAAAATACAAGATAATTAGGTTGACTGCTATGAAAGAACTCACATTTCTACCCTGGGCTATAGTGAAACATTTTGCCTGAGTTACACAGCTTGCTTTAGCCAAGAAAAGTGCATTTATAGTATTCCTAGAGCCAGGAAGTATAGAAACTAATGTCATGACCTTAAGTAAGAATGCTAAAATAATAAGGGCTTATTTTAATGTAAGAGTGTGATTCAAAAGATGCACTTTAGTTGCACTAATTAAACCTAATATATAAAAAAATTTGCACATGGAATATGTTGTTGAACCTCTTGAAAATAGGTAGAGAACTTTGACTTCTAAATCAGAATATTAACATTAGAAGATATATTGGTTTCTCGGTCTTCCTGGATTTTTGCCCCACTGCGCAATCTCTGCTTGTGGGTTAAGATTCATGCATGGATCTGAAACCAAACAAAACTTTGAACAACAAAGCGTCACACTAAATTTGTGGTTAATACCACTCTGGCCATATAGCTGAGTTGCCTGTAACCAGGGTCCTGTTCCATCAATCAGTTTCTTCTGATTAAGGATCTACCTGTACTCTGGTGTCACAGTTCCATTTATATTTTCCAATTCTTCAGCAGCTGAGCTGCTGTCATGACACATCAAATCTCCAAATGATTAGATTCCTGCGCACACATTTTTGTCCCTTTTTCTGCTTGATGCTTCTGAACTTCCACTTCCTCTTCTCACCTTTGCTTAGATAGAAAGCCTGGTCCTAAGATTCATTTTGTATGTTTGCTTTTGGCACTCAATTGGGGGTTGTAAATGAATCTGGATCCTACCATCTTAAGAAAATATAAAACCATCCCTTAAAATGGAAGGTAATTTCAAGAATTTGAGGTTTGAATTTATCTTTAGGGTCACTATTGTTTTGAGAAACAAGCAAAATGATACCTCCTGCTATAAAACAAATAAAGAAATAACACAATGTTTGTGGTTCTTTAAGTCATATAAATGAAAATTAAATATCCTCAACGGAAACAGGTGTTTAAAGCTGGAAATATCCAATAAGTTATGCTACTCCGTATGTTTGTAGAGTCCCTAGCTGGTTATAGTTTTAGTAGCTTCACCTTGAAAGATTGTTTCTTTTAAAAATATATTTATTTTAAAATTGTGGATTTAAAGTGCCTTATGACTTTATTACTTATTTTTGCTCTTGAGAGGATAAATTGTGTGTATTTTTACTGTGTTACTCACAGTGGTTTGGGAATAGAAACTGCAGAGACTGAGGAAAGTCTAGTCCTGTCCCCCTCTTTAACTTTGAATGAAAGGAGAAACTGAAAAGGCACTGTCATCTTAACATAAACTGTACTACCAATTCCGTAGATTTATACCGAGTAACAAAAAGTGCTTTAGTATTGGGCTATTAAACTCGGTTAGTCATCCCACTGGAACCATAAGGAAAGACAGTCCCTTTGTAGGGACCATCTGCTTTTCCCTTGAGGAGGTGCCTGTTTCTGAAGTCATCCTCCTGGAAGGAGATTGCTCCCCGGGCTGTGCTGAAGAATTAGGGAAGGCGTAGAAAAGGAAAGAAGCTACCACGGTCAGGAGGTACTTGCAGCTACCATCACCACTGGGGGAGGGTTGTGCCCCAGAGTAGTGATAGGTTATAGAAGCAATATTACAGGAGCCAGAGCAGAATAGGAGAGATTTTGAGGGTGTTTAATTATGGGAGGCATTTGCTGGTAGAGGTGGTAGTGGTGGTGGGGCTAAAATTATGGAAGACAAGATTGTGAGATCTGAGTCAGTATAATTTGAATATTTAATGAAAATATGGCATCCCTTTGGAATTATGGCTAGTGATGCCTAGAAATTTGAACTTTAAATCAGCTTTTCCTGGACCAATGACTTTGTTTTAAACCTGGTTCCATACTATACCTCAATGTCAGAGTCCCTCTTAGTCCTATTTATAAGCTATTACTTCTAATTAATCAAATAAGTTTTTATATTTTTGCTCTATCAAGTGAAGTTTCAGGATTTTTTGTTTTTTTAAATTCTAAGTATCTAGTGAAGTTTAAGGAAATTATTATTGGTTTTTTTTTTTTTTTTGATGAGGAAGATTGGCCCTGAGCCATCTGTTGCCAATCTTCCTCCTTTTGTTTTTTTTCTTCCCAAAGTCCCAGTATGTAGTTGTATATCTTAGTTGTAAGTCCTTCTAGTTCTTCTACGTGGGACATCACCACAGCATGGCTTGATGAGTGGTGTGTAGGTCCACACCCAGGATCTGAACTGGCGAACCCTGGGCCACTGAAGCAGAGCATGTGAACTTAAACACTCCACCCCAGGAAATTCTTTACATTGCTATTCCAGATCATTCTCAAATTCGAGGATCTAGTCTGTGGTCCTACATAAGAACATGCTAAAACGCTACTTCCTATGTGAAATCTTCTATGGGCCCTCTCAGGGAAAGCTAATTTTACTCTTTTGACGATCCATGTTACTTTTTTGTAGCTCCTTTTCCACTGTTTTTAATGAGGATCCATATTACTATTATTTTTTGTGCATATCCTATATACCCTTTGGTACTATACTCTTGTTGACAGCAGGAACTATAATTTCATTTGTTTCTTTACTCAGTAAATATCAATTACTTGCTATGTTCTTGTTATCCTTCTAGTATTTAACAAAATATAGAACACATGTACAATAGGTGCTCAGTAAATGTTGGCAAAAAGCTAGCAAAAGAGAATATAGATCTTCCTTGACTTACAACGGGCTTACGTTCACATTAACCTATCATAAGTTAAAAATATCATAAGTTGAAAATGTATTTTATACACCTAATCTACCAAACATCATAGCTTGGCCTAGCCTACCTTAACCATGCTCAGAACACTTACATTAGCCTAAAATTGGGTAAAATATCTAACACAAAGCCTATTTTATAGTAAAATGTATATCTCATGTAATTTATTGAATACTGTACTGAGAGCGAAAAACAGAATGGCTGTATGGGTACAGAACGGTTGTGAGCGCATAGGTGTTTACCCTCATGATCACGCGGCTGACTGGGAGCTGTGGCTCAGTGCCCAGCATCGCAATAATCATACAGCATATTTCTAGCCCAAGAAAAGATCAAAATTCAAGACTCGAAGTACAGTTTCTAACGAATGCATATCGCTTTTGCACCATAGTAAAGTTGAAAAATCATTAAGCTGAAACATGGTAAGTTGAGGACCATCTATATTTTCATTTTCTCAAGCTCCTTGGAATAGCTTCTCTCAATATGACCTTAATGGTCAGAACGGAAAACTGACATAGTGGTGTCTCTTTGTGTGTGTTTATTTTCTCTAATTAAAAAACCGACACCTTGAAAATATTATTTAGATATGTATCTTATGTCTAAGTAAATGATGAGAAATTTGTTAGTATGGGATAAAACTCTTAATTACGGAGAGCTAGTCTACTAATTCATAGTTATGAGACAAAAACAGAATACATTTGTTTATTCCTTTCAAAAACATCCTAAAGTGACATGACAAAAGTTGCTGGTGATGCTTAGGAATATTCAAAAAAGAATTAAAATGCATATAATTAGCTATCACTTTCATGGCCTATGGCTCATTGGGATGAAGCACTGAATCTTTTCAGATCTCCAAAATATAGTGTTGACATTGCAGGAACATTCAGTTTTCCACAGAAGAAATATATGCTGTCAGTGCAAGGCAAACAACTACCAACATTGCAAAGGAGTTGGAAGAAAAGGAGACTATGAAGACAAAATAGAATTTTTAGAAACTATGTAAACTTGTCACAAATTTTGAGTTTCCCATATTTAACTGAAGTTGTATCTAGGCTTTCTGCAATTTTAATTTTTTTCTGCAAAGTATAAATTGAGCATTTCATGGGTTGAAATAAAAACCTTGGCTAATTTTATGTTTAAAATATGTTTCTCCTTTTCTAGGTTGTGAATCCTTTGAGGATAAAGATTATTGTGTCTTTTTCATCTCTGAATTCCCAGCATTTATACAATCCCTGGCAAGTAGGAAATGCTTAATAAATGTTCACTAGATGAAGTAATTAGTATTTTTTTATTGACCTCTTCACTCCAAGCTTTGTTATCTATATAATCATGAAGCATTTTTGTGTGTGTCAGGAAGATTTGCTCTGAGCTAACATCCGTTGCTAATCTTCCTCCCTTTGCTTGAGGAAGATTGTCACTAAGCTAACAACTGTGCCAATCTTCCTCATTTTGTGTGGGATGCTGCCACAGCATGGCCTGATGAGCGATGTTATGTGTGTGCCTGGGATCCAAATCTGTGAACCCTGGGCTGCCAAAGCAGAGTGCACGAACTTAACCACTACACCACCGGGCTGGCCTCTAAACGTTAAACATTTTAGTACTGGTTTTATTTAAAAAATTTCTCCTCTAGAATAAATTATGGATAAACAACATGGGATATTTTTTAACTAAAATTTGTGCCCGAGCTACATGTACTATGAGATTATGGTTATTTGAGCTTTTAAATATTATTTGTCTTTAGAAGAGATAAATCTGTATGCTAGTTGACACAGAGAGGAGATTCACAGAAAAACTTTCAATCATTGGAAGTCCCACTGTGGGGAGAAATATTGCTTGTTGTTTGATAAAATTATAAAGAATGCAGGTATTGTATACTTCTGAAAACAACCTAAGATGATATCAATGAAAGGAGTCAGCTTAAGTTATTCAGATGAGACTATCTATGTTGGGGAAAGATATAGTATATAGGAAAATAATAATCTGCAATAGGAGAAAGAAGCATTGTCAAAGAAGAGAGGCTACAATACAGAGAAAGCAAGTAGACACTTCCCATTTGCAGAGAACAACTTAAGGGCTCCTGATTCACAAGGCAAGACTCATAGTTCAGCTTCCATCTCTTCCCCTGTGACGACTGCATCTTGTTGAGTTGATGAAAGCTCCAGACAAGTCACCAAGATAGAGCAGCTTCATGGGCCCTGGACTCCCATTAGGAGCACCCCTAATCCCATTCAAAGGGTAGGAAGAGAGGGGAACAATATAACACATTAAAGCATCACGAGTTTTTTGTTATTTCTGGTTTTATTATTAACTGTGGAAGAGATAAAAGTGATGTTCTAGAATCGTCTCCTACTGGCCTGTGAGAGTCATTTGTGTACATCTTCACAGCTGTACGTTTAATGAGGTGATGTTGAAATTGGCCACAGTGGGAGTATTTACAGGACAAAAAATGACAAATGCTACAAGTCAGAGTTGTTTGTTTGTGTGTTTTAAGTGCTGGGTTACCAGTACACTACTGCAAAAGAGATGGAAACTTAACTAGAATCTGGAAATTAAAATCAATTATTCATTATCCCTCTTACCGATTTTCTGAATTCATCCTCTTCTTTTCATCCTGGTTTTCCTCTGCCTGCCAGATAAAATGCACTTGTCTTGGCTTAACATACAGGCAAACCGCGCATTTGTCCCAGTGTCTTTCTCCACCTGCTTTAGCTACATGTACAAACCGTCCACATTTTCTTGCCTCTGTGAACTTTTGCGCGTGGTGGTCTCTCTGCTTAGAATAACTTTCTCCCATGTTTTCTTTTCCCCAAATCCTACTCATTCCTTAAAACTCAGCTACAGTAGGGGCAAACCCCGCGGCTGAGTGGTTAAGTTTACAGGCTCTGCTTTGGCAGCCCGGGTTCACCAGTTCAGATCCTAGGCGAGGGCCTACAGACTGCCCATCAAGCTATGCTGTGATGGCATCTCACATAGAAGAACCAGAAGGACTTACAACTAGGATATACACTATGTATGGGGCTTTGGGGAGAAAAAAAAGAGAGAGAAAGATTGCCGAAAAAGCATACCTTTAAAAAAAAACAACTCAGTTCCTGTAATTATCACCCTTCAGGGAAACATTTTCTTAACCTCCCCCACCACTACCATGAGCTGAATTAAGTGTTCTGCTTTGTAATCTCACTGTTGACTCTCATTACCCTTATTACAGCATACTTATGTCATAGAGTCTGTCTTAGTTTTCTATTGCTGCTGTAACAAATCACCACAAATTTAGTGGCTTAAAATAACATAAATTTATTCTTACAGTTCTGGAGGTGAGAACTTTGAAATGGATCACAGTGAGCTAAAATCAAGGTGTTGGTGAGGCTGTCTTCCTTTCTTGAGGTTCTGGAGCTCAATGTATTTCCTTACTTTTCAGCTTCTGTAGGCTGACCGCATCTTTGATTCGTTGACATCTTTCATCTTCAAAGCCAGCAATGGCTCGTCAGTCCTTCTCACATCATATCGCTCTGACACTGACTCTTCTGTGTCTCTCTTCCAGATTTAAGGATTCTTGTGGTTATATTTGGCCCACGTAGACAGTCCAGAAAAGTCTCTCTATTTTAGAATAAACAGATTAGCACCTTAATTACGTCCGTCACCCTAATTTCCCTTTGTAATGTAATGTAAGATATTCATGTGTCTGGGAATTAGGAGGTGGACCTCTTTGAGAGGCCATTTTTCTGCATGCCACAGAGTCATAAATAGTATTTAACTTGCGTGTATATAGTCCCAGTTTCCAGCACTGCTGAGAGTGCTCAGTACAACATTTTTCAATAAATTAGTATTTACAAAACCATCAACAAGCTTTTCAGAGAATCACGCAAGTTTAGAATTAGGAACAAACTTAAAATTTAGCTCTTTCACATTTCTTGGGCCATGGTAGGGGTTTCAAAAGTTTACTGATTATGAAAAAATTAAAAATAGAACTACCATACGATCCAGCCATCCCACTACTGGGTATCTATCCAAAGAGCTGGAAGTCAGCAATCCCTAAAGTCCTATGCACCCCAATGTTCATTGCAGCATTATTTACAATAGCCAAGACATGCAAGCAACCTAAGTGCCCATCAGCAGATGAATGGATAAAGAAGATGTGGTACATATATACAATGGAATACTACTCAGCTGCAAAACAGAACAAAATCATTCCGTTTGCAATAACATGGATGGACCTTGAGGGAATTATGTTAAGTGAAATAAGCCAGCTAGAGAAGGTTAATCTGTGTATGACTCCACTCATATGAGGAATTTAAAAATGTGGATTAGAGAACAGATTAGTGGCTACCAGTGGAAAGGTGGGGCGGGGGGTGGGCACAAAGGGTGAAGTGGTGCACCTACAACACGAATGACAAACATTAATGTACAACTGAAATTTCACAAGATTGTAACCTACCATTAACTCAATAAAAAAAAAAAGTTTACTGATTATCTTTGTATAAGTTGTAGTTCCCACCCTTGGAAAACTCGCATTCTTACTCTGCTACGTCAAAAGTTATTGACTACATCACAAATGATGACAGCGTATTTAGAAGTGTTCAACTTTAATAAAAACCCAATTGAACAAATCTTCTTCTTAAACCCCATTTAAACATTCTCGTGAACTGCAAGTATTTTTAAATATTTCAAGAATCCACTGACCATTCTGTACAGTTTTTCAACATTCATCAAAAGTGTATGATTCTCTAAATAGAAATATGACCTCCTTAAAGCATAGCATAAGCAATAATTTACAATTGATTTTTGTGTCTTACTAACATATAAATAAAAAATATGCCATGTTTGAATCCACAGAAAATAATCTATCTATAAGCCCGTACTTTTTAAATAGGAAATCAAAAACCATTTTTTTCACAATGAGATATGGGTGAGCAGTTTAATTTGGGCGAATATCTCAAAATAGTCAGAAGGTTACCTCAAAAAAAATTAAAGAAATATCTTACCCAATAGTTTGGTGACAATATATACTCTATCTCTACCCGTCTAAACGAGATACAGACAGATAGTATTCTCACCTTTGAATACATTTTTATTCAACAAATTTGCTGCTTAATTCCATAGCCCTCCATAACTACTCTTTGGTTTTGTAGAGAGCGATACTGGAGAAGCTGATTGTAGTGTGCATGTATGAATTAATGTAATTTAACAGCAGAGTGTTACTATTCAAAAAAACTTTTACGCAATATTTTAAGATTATGATATGCAATACTAGTGTATTGATTTCAATAATGCCCACAGTATGGTTCTGGGAAGGCAAATTAAAAGAGGACATAAAAATTCAAAGGAATTTAACACTGTTTACAAAGATGTGGGATGCTTGTTTCGGCAAAATCAGCCAGTTAAAATTTTAACAAAGCTGGATGAATAGTCAGCCAGTGGATAATCTCTGGGATTTTTCATATGTTGTCTAGTTCAAAGTAACTTGAGATGATATTGGATTTCCCTTAATAGATAGTAGGCTTCCTTTCTCTCTTAGGTACTAGGATCTGTGTGAAGCTGTCTCGTTCTATTTATGTGATAGGACTTTTTTTTTGCAAGTGATCTTTTCTTGTTTGTCTCTCCAGGTTATTGTCATCAAATTGTTCTTATTAAACACAATATATGTAAAGTTCTATACTGCATTATCTAAAGAACATTCAGCAGACATGGTCCAGCACTCTCATTTTTATAATCTTCCCAGTTCTGGTACAGAGTTCCTGATTGTATAATTTTGTCCTTTCTTTCTTTGTTTTTCACTTGTCTAGCATTGCTGATGCAATTACAGATCATGGGCAAAACTGTAGACTTCCTAATCACAGAGAGCATAATGAAGCAGGGTAAGTATAAAACTCAGGGTAAGTTATTGAACTTGGAGCTTCAGTTTAATGGAAGATATATATATATATATATATATATAGACAAAAAGATTACATATTTAATTTTTTAAGACATATATTTAAATAACATGTATATTTCAATTTTCTTTAGGGTTAGATGAAATTAAGTAAAATGCCTAGCATGGTTCCAGTACCCAATAGTGATTTAAAAAAATCTATTATACTTTCCTCTCTGGAATGATTGAAACATACAATAGTGGTACTTTTTGAAGGACAGAATCAAGGGTGCATCCAGAGGAAAAGTCAAGTGTTAAGTAACAACTGTAAAAGGCATGGGTACATATGAATATTCATTAATGTTTTCACTGTTGTACTCAAAGTTCCGAAGAGAATACCCTGAAGATACATCGCATTATGCTTTACACAAAGGAAATTTGGGATAATTAATGACTAACCCACCATCAGCCATCCCAGAAGATGATAAATATTTTATTCTGATTGTAATTCCTAGGCATGAATAAAGATGATGATTTTATAAAAACTCATTTTTCTTATGGAAATATTTAGTCCCTTTATGTCCTTAATTTTAACTGTAAAATAAATAGTTTATCTCTGTGATAGCTTTCTCTTTAAGAGAAAGGGGTCATGTGGTCAACTTTTGAGTGATTATATAGAACTGGTCCCAGATCACTTTGTCTTTATAGCTCAATTAAATCTTTGGGTGAATGCCAACTCAGGCATAGCTTAAAGTTGAAGCTAAAGTTCTGGATAAAATTCATATGTCCCATGTTTCAAGGCATAGCTTGGGTATCAATCATCTGATTAATACCTCCTATTTATTGAGCACCTACATGAGTGAGAAACTGCTAGATGGTTTATATACATGATCTTATTTAATGTCCGCAGCAGGGCTACTGAATGTACAATGTTATACTTTGGGAACAGATGAAGAAAGTGTCAGAAAATTTTAAGTGACTTTTTCGAAGAAGTCACACAACTAGAAAATATCAGAGTTGAGGTTCTAATGTTGGACCATCTGATTCTGAGTGGAGGCTATCCTATGGCTTCACTGCCTCTTTTAGCCTTAGTCCCTCCATCATTTGGGAAGGAGTTATCGAAATCTTGTTAAGGTGGTTTTATACTGTCAAGTAGTTAAACTGGAACCATGTTTCCCAGAATGTTCTTCTTTGCAAAGCTCTGGGTTAGGGTTAACCACAAGAGAAACTGCACAAGATTCGGAAGACAGAAGCAAAGCAACAGCCATCATGCTCTGAAGGTCAGTGTTGAGCTCCAGACACCTCCAAAGCTTGCCCAGCTGTGCTGATATGCTGGCTCACCTTGTTCGTGTGGGACAGCCACCAGGCCCTCAGCTCTTTTGTCTTCTGTGGTTCTTGGATCAGGTAAGGCAGCAGTTCTGTGGTGAAGGCACCAGCTTCTTCTGCAGACCACCCAGATCCACAAAAGCGGATTCTGTGAAAGACGGATGTAGTTCCTGTTTGCTCTTATGGGTTGAGGGGTTTTGTTTGAGGCTACCATATTTTTCTGGCTTTCTCCTGGCTCATGTCAGCTTTTCTTCCTTTCTCTTGGCTCTGCTACCTTACAGTGACTCTAGGGCCACTTCCAGACTGGAAAGAAACAACTTTGCATAGAGTTCTTCACCAGCTCCCACGAATTGCGCAAGGTCTAATCTTTATTTCACTTATTCTACGTCAGATCTAGTAGTTCTGCCTCCCTGATGGAACCATGACCGCCACACCTGTGAAATACGTCTTGCGATGGTCATAGTAGACAGATTATTTCTGGAACTTTCTGAGAGTGTATCTTTGGAGCAAACTATAACGTATCTCTGTTAAATTACAAGTTAAAGTCACTTTTTCTGGCTTAAAAGTGAGTGAATTTGAAAGCTGAAATAATCTCTCTAAAGCTCATTTTATGGAACAACTTTGTCAAACATATTAGAGTCACGGTGTGATTTACATGCTTAAATTTGTATTCATGAGGTCAACATACCATCTGGCATTATTCACTGGCTCTTGACTATAAATCTTATGTAAGTCATCCAAATTAATTTGCATAGGATCAATTCTAATCTTTGCTATTGAGTGTTTTGTGCTTTGTATTAATTAAGGTGATTGGCTTGTAATTACTCTATTTACTTATGCCCCTACTTAGTTTCTGCATACTAACAATTACTGTGCCTTTAATACTACAAGAAATGTATTAAATCGACGTCTAACTTGACTTTAAAATATTTAAAACTCATGTGATAGATCCATATGTC